TGTTCAAAATACGACAAATCATTATCGTTTCCAATCCTCATTAATGTTGACTTGTGACGATTGATTGATTTACGTCCACCCCACCCTCCGTTTTGCTTTTTTTTTCTTAAGTGCACACTCCCGTTCCAAAAGTACACCTTCTTGCTTTATGTGTTCATATGAAGCGCCATCTGCTTGTCTGACATTTCCATTGGAGAATCACCCATGTTGCCAAAACCCGTTCAATGTACGGCGCGCATAGTGACATGGAGGCAGAAGAGGAACGCAATGCAATACTCAGTATCTTCTTCTACTCTCATGAGATAACATAAAAGTAAGAGTCCAATGACCGAAACTGATTGACAGTTCAGGTCTAGCCTGAAATTTCTTATTTCGGGCTGGCTCAGCTGTCTGTCAGAGGGAATACCTTAGTGGAGTGTGTAAAAAAAAGGTTTGTTATTTCTGTGTCACTAGAATAAATTAATTACCCATTAGCTAATTATGTAAATCCGTGAATTCTGGGAAGAAAGTGGTGCGAAGAGGCCTTCTATAAGGGCGGTACCGGCCAAAGACGATGAGGGGTCGCACCGTGCCTGCGGTCACGCCTCGAAATCGCCTTTTTTACTCGTACGTCTAGGGTTTCTCAGTGTAGAAGCCGTACCCTCCCAGGTGAGAATGGCAACAATTTGCATTTCCCAGAGGGTAAAATGCTTTGTTTGCCTGTGCAGAAGCGGTCCTTGGATTTGATCCCAGGACCACGTGCGTGATAAGCGTGCCATTCCCACTGCACCATCTCCACCTAACATATGTAGACATATAACCTATCAACAATATTACGTATTAGTGGTTGCGAGTGCGCAACAGTTGGTAATACTACCATCTCCATTGTATGAAGGATTGTAAACTATATATATGGCTATGTGACATGACAATCGCAGTGTGCCGCTCGGATGGGCGTGGCGAGCGACGCCGCGCACGACGTACGAGTTGTCCTGCCTGACTGTTCGACTTTGAGTATTCAAGAGGCGAGAAACTTTGATATCGCCTATCATACGGCCCTCTCAGTCCCGTGGATCTATACAGTTAATGTCGGAGGCGGAAAGAGCTGTTTCGGTGATTGTTTAACGTTTTCCTGGCTATTCTCCTCTACTGTAGACACGCCTCTGCTCCTCTATGTACCGTCTGACCCCCACGCCGTCTCTGCGCTAGCAGGTACGTATTCGGAGATACTACTTTTCGCCCTGCCGCATGCACCATCCGGTTCGCTGCGGATGCTGGGGGATGTCAGGGAGGTTAGATTTGACATGGTACCAGCCAGTTTTTCACCAATTATTGAAGCGGGGCAAGCGTTGAAAACCCACAAAACGCTTCAGCATCGTCAACGAAGAGACTATGCACCTCGAGGAGTCTTAGAATATTTTCATTTCGTGTCTCACTTAAATCTATTCGCAAACCCACTTCCTTTTCAAAGAGATGAATCCCTACAAGAGGAGAAAGGTGGCTTGCTGTTGTAGAATCTTTGACACACTGCGTATCCTGCCTGACGAGGGAAGAGTTTGAGAGGAGGGGGGTCCTTAAGATGGCTGGGAACTTACAGGCCAACTTCAAAGTTGAAGCCCTGAGTCCAGTCATCGTTATCAAGGAGGAACAATAGCCTTTTGACGACGATCTTTTGACCAAAAATCAGGCAATTTTTCCAGTCTTGTTCGCCTTTGACGCTGAGATGTTTCAAGGGGATATTTGTAATGCGTCTGCCTGTTCTCCACCAATTGTCGTGTCAACTGCCTTCAAAGGTATCCTGGTGATGGACTTGTTCCGCTACCAATTATATCCATTTCGAATGGTGAAAGCGAGGCGATAAGGAGAAAAAGCTGGCATCAACAGGTGAGAACTCGTCCGAGCACTCCGTATCTCCGGCTCATGCATGTACAAAAACGATTCAACGTAGGGCTCTATTAAAAACGTCAGCCTTTTTTGGTTTTTTCGCTTTTTTCTTGCTTACTTTTTTTTGGGATTTTCCGCTTTTTTCTTACTTGCCATCTTGCCGTTTATATTTAAGCCGCACAACTCACTATTTTTGAACGCGTCTTTCAGCTGCTCGAACAACGTTTGATGGAAAACGAAGTGAGCGTTTTATCCTTCAAAAAATAGCGTGATGGCATATTCTTTGCACCCACCCACTCTTCTTCACTGAGTGAATCACCGATTAACTCGCCGAAACAAAGATCACTTAACTGAAAGGGCAAATTCGCGATCATCCAACTCGAAAAAGTGGTTCGCGTGTGAGCTGATAGGGTCCCTAAGCCCCTAAGCTCAGCTCAGCTAAGCTGTGCTTATTTTAAGGCTTGAAACCATGCGGCAAGCGCATGACAGGCTCACGATTTAGACCCACGCTCATATTAGTTTTCATCAGAGTAGCATCGGGGTAGCGTTGTAGGAAGAATCCCATCAAGGGTGGGGGCAGAGGCGGAGGGGGAGACAGGCGTATTTCGTCGAGAAAGGAGGCGTATCTGTCTTTTAGAAAATCAGATTTAGAAATGCTACCTAATTGGAGACCCCCAACCCCCGGTCTTCCCCACTTACCGCTCGTTAGCAATTTCTCTTAGAAATAGTGTGGAATCTCTGGAAAAATGGAAAAATGGTAGCTGGGAAAGCTTAGGAAATTTCTTAGTAAGGTAAGGAAGCAAGTCGTCTTAGATGCGGCACACATCGCGATAATGTACCTTGCTTAGCACTTGGTAGTGTCTACCGTTTCGCTTATCTTTTTGCTCTATAGTGTTCGCCTGTGATTTCTCACCAGCGACCAGTATTTCTCACCTTCTCGCTTCTTAGAACCGTTTATAATCGCAATCAGCGGTTCCCAGCCAGAGTACAGCATCCTTGTGTGAAACACATGGGGGGGGGGTCGTTTGCTCTGGGGAGGGGGGGTCCTATTTGGGGTTTGATAGTTGCATTAGTTATTGTATACCCGCTCGACAACTTTTTCGCCGACTATATACTCATCGCTCGTCGTCGGCGAAAAAGCCGTGGAGGGGGGGGGGGTCGTGCCTGGACCCCATTCGAAGGGGGGGGGTCGTACTCACACCGACATTTCGCACATCCCCATGCTGTACCCTGTTCCCAGCTGCGGCCTTCCCATCAATGGGTGATTCCTTCCTACATCGATCATTGCTCGATCACCATTGGTAGAGCAAGGCGGCCGGACGCGAGCTCGTGCCGCGCTCGCCGCCCCCGACAAATTGCAAAACATTCGCCAACGGTTGAAATCGTGTGTCCAAAAAGGGCCTTATGCGGGGTGTCTTAGACGCTTTTTCTTCACTACCGAGCAGCATTGCACCAGTAGCTTGATACACAAACACCACTTCATACTACTCGCAATCACGAAATAGACCTTTAAGACCCTGCCCAAAAATCACTGCTGTTCCCACAAGGGGCAATTCAGTGGTCAACCGTAAGCTCTCGAATGTGTTTCGTTCCAGGTTGCTAAGGCATTTTAAGAACTGTCACTTCAGCTACCTCCCTGAGTTAAAGATTTTCCTGTACTGAAGCAGTCGCATGGCCAACTGCGCGCCTGAGCATAGCTAAACGCGCTACTTTTCCGATTCTCTCACTTCTGTCTGTTCTTTACCTCTGTGAGCGTTTTGCCCCAGTTTTGGCATCGACGCAAGCGCTGCACATTGAGGATAGCACGGGCGGAGTCCAAAATGGTACAGCAGTATCATTACCTTTATCCTTTAACCCGTTCCCGTGCACTTTTATGTGTAACACGATTCTGCGGCTGTGCATCCATTTACACTGCCTATGGCAAGGATCAGTGACTCATTAAGCAGGACTGAATGTTGCAAATCAATCCTTTTTTTGTTAACGTAATAAGAAAGTAATAAAGAATATTTACTTTACGTTCCTCTTTTAAAACAAGTATTGGACAAACCAAATATATTACACTGGGAATTGAGACAAATAGCATTCTGTGTGCTGAATAGATTGAGCAAATCGATTGCAAGCAAAGCAAATGAACATCGTTTCGTAAATGAATTATTTTAAATCTTAAAATAACAAAAACTAGTGTATCGTGACAGAGGAGATTTCTCTAGTAATGTATAACATGAATAGACGATTACAAAAGCCAAAAGGAAGAAAAATCCGAAAGGAAAATTGAGTCAACTAGTAAATACCCATGTATTTTCTCACAATACGGTGAATGACACATGCTTGCACATGATGAACAATCTTTGAACATATACAATACGAGAGAAGATGGGAGGAAAAGGAAATGAACATACAGAAAGACAACTGAGGTCGCCATAAACCTCAACGTAACACACATACCGTATATGAGGCGGAACACATACTTACTGTTGTCATTATTGCTATCACAATTGTTATGATTATGATTCAATTTAAAGCACTGACTATCAAAACAGGAGTAGTAGCGGCAGAAAATGCCTCTATTCTCCTATAAACGTACAATCGAACTCAACCGAAACGCTACGCGCGTAGTCACTCTCGATGTGGAACAACCATCTGTGATCGGTAGACCATACTGACAGCCAATCCCAAGCGGCGTTAGAGCTGAGGGTGGTTGTAGAAGGCATTGAGACGGTTTGTGTGTATCAAACGCAACACAATGCTGTGGCATGACTTTTAGGGAGCAGAAGGTATTCCAAGATGGGTTACCAACGAAAATTATCTCATCATCAAGTCTCGAACCTCAGCACGCCCCTTTTGACCATTTGCACGCCAATGGTCTGCACTAGCTTGGTATTAAAAAAAATGTGATCGGCTAACTGCTGCTGATGGGCATAACCCAAAATCGAGCCTTCAATATCCAAGAGGACAAGAAGCGAACCTCAATACCTACATTCAGGCCCCCAGTCCTGTAAGAAGGTGCCCCGCTAGCATTTCATTAGGGTTCGATTGCGGCTGAAGAGCAGAATCATCCATATCATTTATACTCTGAATATATATTATGATCGTAGTAAGAAATAAATAATAACACTCTTCAATAAAAAACATTCCAATTACAGATAACCGCTGCTCCACCTAAGAAGGTTCGATCGTTTCATTTTGTTTAACTTTTTCGTTGATGGCCCAACGTACGGTGACGTACCGTCTCCTTTCATACCATCTTTACGCTTTCTAAAATGACAGTGCTCAAGAGCTGAAGAGGGGAACATACTAGTTCTGTAAGGTCATATAATCTTGCTCGCAGCGGATGAAGGAGTGTGTCAGGTGAAATGGGATTGACGCGACGCCAAAGCCAATTTCCACCAGTTGTTGCAGCGAGCAAGCGATTGGACTGTATCATATTGCTCGTATAAGTCGTTTTCCATCACCTTTTCTCGCTTGATTGCTTAAACAACTGGTGCCAACTCACACCGTTGACACGCCCCGATCCCAGCGAACAAGACTGAACGGAAATATTCAAAAAAAAATAAAAAGACTTTACAAAACAAACCGTAAGAGAAGGTTGAGCATTGGAGATGATGGATCAGGTGCCATCGCGTAATAGGGATTACATTTATCAGGGAGCAGAAATTCACCTGAAATTCGAAGAAAGGTAAAGTTAATGATGTGATAAAAAAGCAGTATCTTGTTTGGTTTGAAATTGTGTATTCACTACATGAAGAAGGCTCCGAAGAAAAAACTGATTTCTGATATTTATACGCTATTCCTGTTTGAAGTGCACTTTGTACTACTGCCCTCCGCCCTCCCCACCCTCCCCCCCCCCCTTCAACGGTAGACTTTTGTAAAGAAAGAGGAGAATTCCTGTGCAAAAGTAATACAAAACCCGAAAAAATCTAAGAAGATAGTAGAGAGGGTATAGAAGGGGACCGTAACAGAGGAGGAAAGTTTGAAGGGGACGGACTGGTGATTTTTAAAATTTTCCCCAACAGCAGAACGTGCCATATAGCTCATGAACTAAAAGACGCGGCATCACCCGTTTAATAGAGCAATTCCTAGTTACACAATTCAATGAGCAGCATCACCGCCAAGTCGAGTAAGTTGGGTCTCGGAGTGAATGAGACATTGGCACTGTCGCCATCTCCAGTTTGGGATGTGATGAAGTACAAGTACAGGTTTAGCAGAGCCTAGCCTTATAGGCGCACCATTGGTGTGCACCAAAGGTAAAATATTAATCATTGTTACAATTGATTTACCTCCGTTGGGTAACAACTGTACAAGACAATACTCGTCTTCTCGATTGTCCAATAAATGCTTTTCCAATGCTCTCGTGATTAATTCGTTCATGCGGTCACCATTCTTCACCTAAAACTAATACTAATATTGACAGCATATTTAAAAGTACCTTGACTGTAGAGCTAAAGGATGCAGAATATAGTCTTTAACCCAGTATTCAGCGGAAGCGGAATGTGTGCTCATCACAAACAAAGGTTGAACAACCCTTTCTTGGTATAGGCACACATTCCACTTCCGTTCAGAATCGTAGCGGCAATCAGTGATGCGATCGAATGCGAGGAGCTTATACAATGACTTGCGAGCGCTAGCCAAAGTAAGAGTTCTTATGTTTCTAGACAAACCTGGTCTAATTTACCGTCCCAGGAGGCTATAAAGCTAGTTTGGCCTAGGAGAGAGAGCCGATTTTACCTCCCGAACCGTGCTCGTGGTAAGTGTGCCACTTGCCATTACCATTGCAATACAAGTTCAGGTTGTCAGGATGCATACAGTACCCTCGTCCTAATGCATACAATGGGGGTGCAGGGTCACGTGGGCACGTGCAGATTATTTGTGTGGATTACGGTAATCCGTCCGCGGAGCAGGTACCTGCTGTGGTCGGGCGGGAATCTGCTCGCTCCGGGTGGCAGCCCCACTCCGGAGCTTCCTAACACCTACTCGCAAAGCGCGCGCTTGGGTCGGGGTTGAGGATGAAACGGGTTATGCAAAAGCCGCATAACATGAACTATTAACACGTTGACGACGGTGTCGGACAATGCTGTCCGACAGCATACTGCTCTAATAATAAAGACGTGCGAGCAACCAAATTTGTTCAAAAGATGTCTATAGGAGTAGGCTGAAATTCTGAAACGAACAGCACAGTGGTTTGGCCCGGACTGCCCGGCGCCCGCGCCACAGGCGCCGGCGCCAAAATACCTTAGGTCACCAAAAGCGCTGAAAACTTGTTTCGTGGGGTAGCTTGAACGCCTGAACACGAATATCACATTCGTTTCCCGCGAAAATGCCCGGCGCCAAAATACTTCAGGTCACCAAAATCGTTGAAAACTTGTCTCGTGGGTTAGCTTGACCCCTGAACACAAATATCACAATCGCTTGCCACAAAACTGCCTAGCGCCCGCGCCAAAATGTCCTATAGATCATCAAATTCCCTGAAAACTTGTCCCTACCGGTGAACCGACCCCCTCAACAAAAATATCATGTCCACTTAACGCGTTGACGACGATTTCCGTCAATGGTGGACGACAGAAAGTTTGTCTTGTGGAACGGCGTCGCCCAATGCTGTCCCACAGTTATTATATAACTCAAGATCTGCGCGATTGTTTCACTTTCTTTTCATAAAATTAGTTCAAGAACAAACATTTTCGGGTCGAGGGATGCGATATTGTTCTTTAGGAGATCAAACCACCCCGGGAGACAAATTTTCAGTCAATTCTGTCTTTAGAGGAAGAATTTGGTAAAAAATGGCCTGATTTTGGAAGATTGGAGCAATAAGAGCTAAATTGTGTCAAAGATTCGAGATTGCTATACTCGTCTCTTGCATTTCTCGATACATTTTGGTCGTAGTAATTCATTTATTTGGAAATTACTAAGTTTCAGTGTAGAAAAATGTGCCGTCCCAGGCGCAAGTCATGGGAAAAATGGCTCGTCGTCAACGTGTTAAACATACCTCAAACTTGGGGTGACTAAGGCGGGTTTACGGTGTGCCCGATTGTGTGCGTTTACGACGCAACATTTCTAACTTCACGCACGGTTTTGGAGGGTACTATACGCAGCCTGACAACCTGAACTTAAAATCTTGTGCACACCTCCGCCATCCAATTGTTGGGTTATCTTGATGAAGTCAACACCTTCCCCCTCCCATACCACAGGTAAATTTATACAGAACTTGGAGTTTCAAAAAAGGTCACTGTTCGGAAAGGGTTAACCACCACAAATCAATCTATGTCAACCAGGTAGACATATCCCGGAGTATCTGGTAATGAGGTCCAATCATGGACTTCTACGTACTACTTGGTCTACTGATTGACTTAGCAAAGAAGAATGAGTTGTTGGAACTTCGGTCTCGTCAACCAACAATGAAACAGATTCATCCATGAATGCTCTTGAATTATGAACAGTAATACAATTACTATACATACCTTTATGCACTTGTAGTTTGCACATCCACCACTGGGTTGACATTCGTCATCTAGTCCAACTCGGGCCAAGTGAAATGAGCCAGCATCTCCCTGAGGTCCAGAAGACTGATACGATGAGGAAGAACATGTTGAAGCCTGTTGGGAGGATTAGTCACGTTAAGCATGCTCATTCCAGGTTTTCTACATCTTGTTAAAATGTCAAGCAGCACTACACTACTGTCCCATGAAGTTAGTTTCTACAAGTAAATGGAAAATCAAGCGCAAAAGGAGCTTGACGACTTTGGTACGACTACAGTAACCGCTACTTGCACCGCTTGGAGAAAGCTATAATAAGAAAGACGATACTTCAGGATTTCCGCAGAAGTGAAACACGACAGTTCCCTTCATTTCCGGCCCATATCGGAGTTGTGACGATAGACCACTCCACAGAGAGTTTCAGGGACCGTTTACTTTTCAAAACAAACCATGAATTCAAAAAGCAGTGCTCCTCTTAGGCCGGAATCATACGTCAGTAAGAAGACTTCGCCCTCTCCCCTACCTCCACAATGACCTCTGGGCGGACAATGTAAGACCTGAACGTTAAAGACCACCACCGTTTTGGACACACCGTCAAACTTACTAACACCAAAATCAGAACCAATTTGATCGATTCATGCAAAAATGAAATAAAAACCAACATCACTTTGGTGATATCCACGTTTCTGCGCCTCGGACATGCTGCAACACGCTGACTCATCACAGTCCATGCGCGAATGCTCATAGCACACTCGCTGAAATGTATGCATTAGACATTATCAGGGTATGTGGCAAGAGAATCGTAATTTGTCGCGTCAGTGGGCGTCGCGTGCGACGTCGCGCCTGCTAATGACGACGATTTTAGGTGGTATTGGTCGAGAATAGACAATGTATGACCAAAACAAACAATGTATGCTAAAACTAGACATAAATGTCTACCATGTCCTTGTCTACATGAAATCCGATGCTCCAATCGAAAGGGTAGTGCAAAAAGGAAACGTCGCGCCCATTGCCGCGCGCGACGAAGCGGCAATTTACGATTCTCTTGCCCGTCTCCCTAATACAGAGGGGTGTGTAGCAACAGAATCGTCCGGTGCAGCTGGTGGGCGTGGCCTGCGACATACTTGCGGCGAGAAGACGAAGCGTGCTTCTGGCGGTTTGAATAGGGTTATTGAAGGGAAGGTAAATATTGATATCACCCAGGATCGAGTCTTGTGTTCAGTTACGGTTAAGTTTTCAGTTAGAGTATGAAAAAGTTCAATAGAGCACGAAATTCATTGGGTCTTTAACATTTGCTCTGGTTTGTCATCTTTTACAGCAGCTCACAGAAAAACTTGGCCATCCGTCTATTATATTGACGCTGGCGACTGCGCAAATCATGTGAACCACATAAACATAGGGAGAATCACGGCCTTATCTGATTTCTTTTGTATCTGTTTATTTCCTGAAGTTGCGTTTATGGAACCGCCAAACAATTGTGTGTTACTATCAAGAAAAACATCATTAGATTTTCAATCATTGATGAAACCTGCTAAATGTTGCGGATGTACGCTGTAGTAAATCATTTGCTCCAGTCGCAAAGCTATCGGCTAGCAAATGCACGTAAGTGAGCTGCTGAGTCATTCGCCGCGTGCCGCGGGCGCTGCCCGGAACGATTCTGTTGCACGTCTCCCAATAGACAAGACTATAGTTCTGAATCCTAAAGGCGCGTTTATACTTGATGACGGGAGAGTAGGAGAATCGACGAATCAGGGTTATGGAAGAATGCGCGCAAGAACTATATGGGTATCGATTGGTATCAGAAAGAGAATAGGAACTACCCGATATGGGGCCATCAAACAGCAACGTATGCAACTGCTCTTACAGACATGGGTATTGGGGAGGCCTAATAACGCAGTCTCACCTTAATCTCTCAGTGGCACCGATCGATACCCATCTGCTCCTTTGCGCGCATTCTCTCAAAAAGTCGATTCTCCTGTTCTCCCAAACCGCTAGCCCGCTAACTATACTTTCTTTGACGCGCATGTTCACGAAACATCAATTTACCAAGTTTCACATTTTCTGCTATGTTGTATGGAAGCAAACTGAGAAGCAAAGAGGGAAAAGGGTGGGGGTCTGCCACGGCAGAAAGAGAGTTAACAATCAGTGGATAAGAATCTCTGGGAAACCATAGTAGTACTAGCGACAGCGAAAGCTCAAATTCTACGCTTTTTTTAGCGCAGGAAAAACCCGGATTTTCAACGAGCTACATACAGTCTTGTTCGTTGCGAATGATGGGGCGTGCCAGCCAGGCGGGGTTTCGCGAGCCGCCATCTCCTTCTTCAGTTGTTGAAATGGATAAGCGACAACAATTGACGGGAAACCACCGATACAAGAAATATTATACAGTCTCCTCGCTTGCTCGCTTCAACGACTGATGAACGGCTCTGGCAGCGTGCTAAACCTGTCCTTTCTGGCACGGCCCATCATATGCAGCCAACAAGACCATGTTCCGCCCATTTGAGACTATTTTGGGGACGAGTCTTATCTGCAGGCCACGTTTCGCCTAGGTCTTACTGTAACAGGACAAGGGATGTTTTGAAAGTTTCATAAAACGAAAGTTGTACAGATCTCTTTACTTACTGAGCATTCAGGCATAGTTGACGAAATAGAAGCTTCTAGTTCCTGAGTCGAATCACCGCTGTACGCTCTCTTATGTGGGAAGACATCCAGAGGTGAGAACTCACATCCTAAAACAAATAAACTTTCAAACAGCAGTTACAGCAGTACGAAGAACATGCTGGAAGATCCAACTGTACTGCTGCGGATAAGTCAAGAATTAAGCATTCAGTCCCACAGTGGATAAACTGTCCAGAGAAGGAGCGGGAAGGGATTGTTTAGAGATAAGTGGAATAGAACACCACTTTCTAGGGATGGACTATTTCAAAATTGGAATTATGGTAGATAAAATGGGAAGAAAGCAGAGCTCCGAGCGCGCCATGCGAAACCTTAAAGGTGATTGCCTCTGCGTAATTTGTTTGCCTGTTCTAATTTCGATCTAGAAATGTCTGTTTTTCAGGACGAAACCGGATTAAACAAACAAATCCCTCATTTGCGAAGTTTTCCAAGTCCGAGAGCTACCATATCAGTGTTTGCGCTTCTTCATGGTCACTTCTGGTGCCATATTGTTCTACACGTACGTTTGACGTCCCATTAAGCCTTTAGCAAAGCTTGGGTTCTTATAGAGGACTAATGGTACGTCACTGGCAGTACCGCCCCATTCTTCAATCACGCATCATCTCACCAACCCCTTCGATTCAAACCTACTCCTCAATAACGGCACCTTTCGAAAGGAATCGTCTTTCTGTTGGTCTGCCCAAAAAGCCGAAACCTCTGAAAGCCACAAAAAACAATTTAAAGTTAGCTCCGCAGAAACACATACCGATACGTTGCTGATAGAAGGTCGACCGTCCACCTTTGTAGGACACGGAACTAGCTGGTGTCGATGGCGCTGTGAACGACTGCACGCCAGGAGTCGTTCGGGAAAGTGTTCGCGAAAGGGATACCTATAAAGGGGTTATATATGTGAACCATGTTTTGAACAAAGAACTGCGACCTTTTTAGTACCACTGCGAAAGATAAAACAGTCAACTGCTCTACAGGACTTTTTTGTGAATTCAGAAAGTTGGAAAAAGTTCTGCAGCGGGACTGAATTGGTTCATGTCTGCTCGCCTGCACTCAATAGCAAAAACGGCATCACATGTTCTGGCATGCCTTACGATTAGGCAGCGTTCAGACTTCGGGATAGCGCGCGAGCGTCGAATTGACATGGACGATGCCGTTTGCTACTCAAAGCAGTAGCGGCCCATGCCGATTGATACCCGTCTATACGTGCGCTTCCATTATAGCACTGGAGCGCAGTCGCGACCATAGCGTGTCGACTTGCATCACCGCGTCTGGACGCTGCCCTAGTCAACGTCGCAACTTATCAGCTTTTCACTGCAACCTCTAACTGAGATAGTAAGACCTCGCGTCGGAACATGAAGCAGCTAAAACTAGCTAGACTGTGGCCATTAGAAAGCATTCTTGCCACTGTTTCGCTCCAGAAGTTTTAAGAATTTTGTACATATAAACAAATCTTCTCACCGGGCCAGGAGGTCCACCATCTACTCGGCCATCGATCCATTCCTCATAGTTGGTGCATCCTTCATGTGAGGCTCTAATACCAACTGGTGATCCGACACCAGCATCGAGCGCAGGGTCAGTGAAACTGGACTGAGAATGCGAATGTGAATGTGACTGGGACACATTCGTCATGCTGTCCTCTCCAGATCGGGATGAATTAAACAGACGAGCCAAGGTATTGCTAAATTAAACACCACTGATCAATCTACATTTAACGCGCGCACCCCTTCACAACTGAATCGACAGGGCGTGCCAGGTGGCCCGGATTTCGGCACGCAGCCAGCTCGTTTTCCAATGGCCGTTGCCTGGTCAGGCGAGCAAATATATTGGGGGGGGGGGGTGATTGAGCTGGCGTCGCTCCAAAATCCACATCACACTGACACGCCCCATCGATTGGGTTGTTGAGGACTATGCAGCCATTTTCCAGTCTGCAATTGGTGACAAATATGATTTTTAAGGAATTCACCTTTTTGGTAAAACACCCGAATTTCCGTTGGATAAACTGGTGTTGTGTCGGGAATTCATATCAGGTGTTGACACAGTTGTTGGTTGCTCAACTTCTAACGATCGATTGAAGCTGAAAGCGAAGTTCATAATGCAGGCAATATTTTTGGAAATTGGTTCAGAATAACCTGCAGCGTGAGGGGCCTGCGACTGGTTCCCGCAAAAAGCGCACCAATCATTGTTTTTCAGACACATGGCACGCTTAAAAAGGTGGGAGGTATCGCTATCATGAGCACAAGGCACTTCTTAAGTTTGCCACCTTGGCCACAGGGTAACTAGAAACTCTGGGTGAAACAAACCAAAGCAGTACACTCATCAAAATTGCTCCCGTTGTATGCGAAAGAAATGAGAAGCATGCGCCACGGGCACTCACGCCATTGCAGCCGACGCTCAAGTTTCAACCGGTATTTATTTTTAGGGCCAGAATAAGAGCTACAAACCCGATATAATAGACTGACCATAAAGGACCTAAAATCCACAAACCAACGAAGCATTCAGTCCCCCATGCCGATTACCTTATACCAGACTTCACTCTACGCTCTATTCTACTTCGATACTGCTCTAGAATAAGGACACTCATGTGCGGTAACGCAGATATTCGGGATAAATATAGATAGGAGCGTGTACCATGCCTTGGTCGTCGTCTGCGCCCTCTCACCGAGACAGTTTCGTAGTGATTACTAGTGTGCCCCGGGAGAGAAATCGACTGTGAACAGGAATGTGGGCACGTGAAAGTTTTGCAGCTTTGAAAAGACTTGGCAAAACAGTGGACTTCTCACAAAGGACGTGATATGGCTTAGTCGCTCACCCGTTCACCCCCCTCTCTCTTCACGACCTCTGCCTAGAAGTTTGCTCACTCCAAACTTTCTTTTAGCCATCACATAGTAGACATTAAGTGGTTACTCCCGCGGCTTTTTGGGAAGTGCTGTTCTGCTCAGTAGGGGGGGGGGCGGGGGATTTTGCATTTTCGCTTTATTAGTACGTCTTTAATAACAAGCATCACTTTGTTGAGATCTGTAAGTTCTTGCGAAGCTGCTAAATGGTGCAAGTTAGCCACTATGGTCCAAGAAATTCGCAGTTGTTCACAACAAGGCCTGTACAAGCTTTGTTGAGTAACATTTGGTTCCCCCACCAAGCCGATCTGCGCCTCTTGGATTTGACATTCCTCTACCCGTTGGCATCACAGAACAATGGGATGAACTTTCTATAAATGAACAATGATGAAAACAATCACACTTCATCATTCAGCAGACGTTTCCCCACGGCTTTTTTTTAATGAGAAAATATCGCATTGTAACCAAATGAAAAAAAAATTACGAACAAAAGCGCACCATTCCTTTTCTGATAAACACGGTAAGAAGTGGAACCAGGCACAAAAGACTCGATCCATCGGAATGTGATAGGCACGTGCGGCTGATTGGAACAGTCGCAGTTTCGCCAACACTTCGAACTCCTTGCGTCGTTTCTCGAAATTGATTAACCCTTCTAAAACAATAAATAGATAAACTGGTCTGGATCTGAAGGGGGATCTGAATATTCCTTTCCAGCTGATTCGTCGCATACAGAAGCCGACAGCTCCACCGTTGAAGCGGAAAAGTTCGGTGCCAAAGAGCGTGTTAGAGCGCATTCATACTTGGCGACGCGATCGCTATAATTGCGCCATCGGATCTCTTGAGCGTCAGATCGCGCGCTCTTATCCAGATGTAAGTATGGATTCACAAGTAACTAACGTCTCAAGTGCCAGCGAACTTTTCCGCGTTAACGGTGTAACCGTCTGCCACTGGGTCATGTCATAATGCAGTTGGGGGAAAGAACGCGCAATTTATTGCGCTCCTGTGCGTCTTCCACCGAGACAGTGATGTCATCCCCTACCCAGTCCCAGAATTGGGAGAGCGCAGACGGCCAGAGTTCGCTCGGTCTGCCTTGCGGAGTAGGCTCTGTTTAGAGTTCGCGATGACGCGCGTCAACGCAGCATGGACGAACATCCATCAGCGCAGGCTACAAGTGATGTGGGATAGTGTACGACAACAGGAGGGTACCAGACGGTGTGATTACGCATTATAGCAACGTTACTTTTAAGCGACCTTAAGCGACCGCGCGTTGTAGACCACGCTGTTATATGACGCCTTATAACTCTGTATAGTTCCTTCCTATTCTCCCATACTCTCCCGAAACTAGCGGCCGGCGCTGACCCTCCCCTGAATATATTTTGTACACTGCGGGGAAGGGGATGTAGCTGCGGACTCCAATGCGCGTGTAGCGGCGGTCTCGAAAATTTCTGCTCTTTCCTAGCTAGTACTGTCGTCACCTTTCAGTTTCATTATGGGCGTTGGCGGAAACCAACAACTTTTCCAAGAATGGGCCCTGCGCACCAGGAAAATTGCAATTACGACCCAGGTATCTCCTGAATCTAGCGTGCATATTAGAGCTTCCCCAGCAGGAACCCCGACACGAAACACTAGGTGAATCTCACAAACGGCTAGAATTTTTGAAATTCCTCCCCTTTTTCCGGTACAAGGTTGGACTACGACACTAATAATTCTTTTGTGGAACCTCTCAACCAACCTTCTTTTTCTCAGACCGAAATCCCCGCAATATACTGCCTTTGTAGCGATAAAAGAGTTCCTTCCCCTTGACGAGAACACTTACAGCACTAATAGCCCGTCGTCAGTCACAGTCAAACGAACGGAACTGGTTTCCTCTCCTAAACCTCTTGAAATCCTCGCTATGAAGGTTAGTTTGAGAGCTCGAAAAACGACCGACGTCCGCTAGTTCTCTGGAGGAGATGCAAACAAAGCCATTTTCAAAGGGCACCCAAGCGCTTTTGGATGAAGTAAGTAAACGCCCCTAGTTTGCGGTTTGGCGGCGCCGCAGGCCGGCCAGATTACAGGGCCATTTGTGAAAAAGAGGATAAACGCATAACACAATCCCCTTCAAATGAGTAATGTTTCTCAACAGAATACCAAAACATGTTGACCCCTAATCAGTGACAGAATCCTGTTAGCCCTTATGCTTATTACGCCTAAACTGCACTTTGATTCTTTTACTGCTTGCTTCAGTGAACTAAATTCTCTTTTGTAGAACTGTCAAAACCTTAATACCCTTTCTGAGCCCCACAGGAAGCACCAAAAACTGCACTTGCAAAACTAGTGCCACAAAGACTCGTTCAGTCGCCACTCTGTCACATGCAATCAGGGCATATTGATCGATTAGTTCATTGTCGTGGACGTTTCAGACCATAACAACATATAAGCTGCCCGGCAGGGTCGCCCACTTTTCCTATCACCTTCAAAATTATGTGCAGTACACACTGCAGTACAGCACAGAGCTATGAAGGTATGGGGGATGAAATGCATGCAGTACATGATAAGGCAAAACATATGAAAATGGCAGTCCCAAATAAAGGTTCAAGCCGACTATGAACAGGCAGTGTTCAGATCTGAACGCTTCCCCATGAAAATACGCACCCATTGCCCATTCTTTCCTTTCTTCAGATTCAGCCGCTCTCCAGGTTGCTAAAACGGCTACCAGAAAGCCGCCAACCGCACAACTCTTTAGCTCCTTTAGATCCACATACACTTGTACATCAACTTGTAAAGAAATAACTGAAAAACTCACCTTCTGTGAAATCCTGAGTGCCTTGGTCAATCATAGTCAAATCAGTTAGAAAAGATCCCAAATATGGCACGGTTCCTTGGCATTCAGCTAAATTCACGTCGCTCTTCGTTCGACGGCAGTTCTGTACCAACTGAGGTCGCCTCAGAGGTGAACTCTTGGCAGTACCTTCCTGGAATTAAAGGAAATTCCTGAACCAATAATCATCATGCTGGGAATAAGAAAGGCCAAGGCCGTCAACAGCAATAAGTTTTGTTTCCAAATCCTACTCGCAGTTTTTTTTACCTGGGAAGGGTGCTTTCAGGAAAAAAAAAACCCACAAAGTGCGTGTCAGATAAAATTCGTGCTTCCTTACGTGCACTGAAATACTTAACGATGGTTCTGACAATTCCCTGACATTCAAAAGCAACATGGCTCAAAAGGTAATCTCTAACCGGAAGCAGCCGCCTGTCATACTTTGCGACTCAGGCGCTTCGATCGCACAATCGCGCTTCACAGCTAAGTGTTGCAACAATGTAACAGCTGAATCAATCGTATTTACAGTAAGCAGTCACGACTGTCCATCGATTAGCGGTGGTGCGGACGGTCGCAGTATTAGGGAAGCGCCACAGTCGCGAAGCATAAACGCGGCCTAGCGAGACTACTTTCAAGGAGGAATGCCTGTCAAGGAAGAACTCTGGTTGTTCACCCTAAAATTTCTGGAGGACCCGTGTATATGTTCAATCTTGACGTCTCAATGTCAACGTACACTTGATGGCAAAGATTCACGGCACCAAATTAATCAATTCAAAATCCAGAAAACTATACCTGTTCAAGAATACGACGAGCATTACGTTCATCGCCCTCTTCGTCCATGTCATAAATGGACGACAGATCCCGAAACTGTGCCATGGATCGACTAAAAAAAACTAGTTTGCAGCAATATATGATTGGAGTGTGATCATACTCCGCGTCAGCGTTTCGTGCGTACGGCACCGAGCGACTAGGAAAGCATAGGTATACATCCACTGTTCGCGTACGCTCAGAGCGTTAGATCACCTATAGTTTCCTAATCAATCAAAACGCAGACATACAGTCTTCGTCTTATCAGTTGATTAGGCGGTCAAAGGGTCGCAGAGCAGCTGCGGCGCTTTACGAGCGCGGCGATCAGCTGTTTCCAGACTAGTTTTGCCATTTCTCCCTAATTTTTACTATATTTTTTTCAAGATAAGTTTATTGTCTACGAAGTACAAAGGGAAAAAGGTTCTTTTTTGGCTTGGTGATGAAGTGTATTTGCGATTTTTTAGGGAAATTATTTAATTGTTCGTAAAAATCAGAGGAATCTCAATCATTATTTACCTTGTAAATACAAAAAACAACTAAGTGAATAAAAGCAGCCAAAAACAGTCAGCTGATCGCCGCGGTCGTGACGCGCCGCAGCTGCTCAGCGACCCTTTGACCGCCTAATCAACTGTCCGGATGACGACTGTACGCTTTATCGTACCACACTTAGAGAAAAAAACAGACCATCGCTATGAAACCGCTTCATCACAGCAGCACAAGGCCGCAAGAATGAACCAAATAAGATTCTTGAAATTGGAACACACCTTGGCACGAGGGCCCACGCTGATTTTAACCGATGGACTGGTTCAGACTGAAGACTTGACAGCACCGCTTTCAATGACGAGAAATTCTTCAAAGCACGAAGCTCCTAAAAAAAGAGAAACCTTGCTGAAACGCTGGAGAATTCGGGGAATAGCGATAAAATTGCTAGAACACATAGAAGCTTTGCAGGGTCAAGATAGTGCAACGATTTCGGGAATTATTTTATAATAAAGACTTACCCGGGCAATATCGATCCATTTGGCGATGATTTTTGCTCGAAAATCTGGCCGACAATCCGGTAACACTATGCTGGTCATGACCCGTTGCGATACGGCATTGAACTGAAAGAAAGGGCATTCAAAAGAGATTCTGTGTTCTTGCGTAACACTTTCGATACAATCGTGGTTGGAGAGGGAGGGGCACCCAGGAGCGTGTCCATTTGTGCTCCGCGAGATTAGGCCGCGTTGAGTTCGGTCGTCTAAGCTCCTACTAAATCAGAGCTTGGGCCGCGTTCATACATGATGCAGAAATGCCGAACCACGGAATGTGCAGAACTGCGGAATCTGCAGAACCGCGGAACTTGCAGAAAAAGAAAATATGTCTATCGATTTCAAAAACCGTGGAATATGCAGAAGTGCGGATTTGCAGAAATGCCGATGGACCGATCGATCCCCATCACTTCCTTGTCCGTCATTTCTGCATTTCTGCAAATTCCGCGGAATTTGCCGTCGTGCGGAATCTGCAGACTCTGCATTTCTCCCAATTCCGCACGACGGCAGGGAAGAACCAATCGATCCCTATCAATTCTTTGTCCGTCATTTCTGCCTGTCGGCAAATTCCGCGGAATTTGAAGAAATGCAGTATATATTTCCTTTCTGCAAATTCCGCAGTTCCGCATATTCCGCATTTCTGCATCATGTATGAACGCGGCATTGTTTAAAAAAAGCGCAGATGCGGCGCGGCATGCCCCCCCACCTTAACACGAAGGAAAGACTGATGTTAGTAACTAGTAAGAAGAAAAGCATGTTCAATAATCGAAGCAAGCAGAAGCAGAAAAAAGAACTGCTGAATTGAAAAGGCCCGCTTGTTTGCGCTGGAGCGCAGCCCGTCATCGACACATGCGATCGGCTCGATAGATGAAAGGAGCTAATGTAGCCGATCGGACCCAATGTGCAAAATTAGGATTGAAATGACCCGAAAACCTTTTTTTGTTGAAAAGAACTGTTTCAACTACTCAAGGGCATCTCCTCTTTCAAATCTAAGCACACCTCATCCCCGCTGCTCAAAGTCGCAACTACACCAAAGCGCCCCACCTCACTGCAAAGGCGCCGCGAATGGTTTAGAAGCCCAGATGGCTCCTCACGTAGTTGGGGAGGACCACTTGCCAGCCACTTCGTATCCATCCAACTGATTAAAGCTCGGGCTTAGTGTAGACTAGGTTTCCCCCCTATGAGACTACTCCTTGGTGACGCTGGCCGTCAGCGCTGAGCTTGCGTCTTTTGAAGGAATGGATACAGATTTCTCCCCCCCCCCAACTACATTAGTGCCGCCAGGATCGCATAACGCAGTTTCCCGTAATCAAGATGAGAAAAAAAACCCAGGAATCTACGTAGCGAGGTGTTCCCCTAGCTATCAATTGCGTTGCGAGACGATTCAGTTCACAACTGATTAATGAGATATCTGCTGATGATTGGAATGTTGCGATACCATACACGACCGTGAACGGACGTGCGATTCTACGTTAAACTGCGTTTTCAGAAAAAACATGACAACAAAAAACAGCAGAGTTAGAATACAATGGTCCACAAAAACCCTATGCGGTTCCTGCCAATATATCTGTCAAACTTGACAAAGAAATTGCGCCAGAGAAACAGAATCGCATCTGTATCTTTCATTTCGCACCAGACAATATTATCGCCTTCACACGCAGGATTACCTATTGTGTTCAATCGAACCCCTAGCGACAAATGTTCGAAACCTTCCAATACATCTTGCTCTATTCTGGCCCCAGGGTGAGTTTGATAGTGGGTATTCTGGCAAATTCAAATGCAACCCATATCATGGAAAGCAGTGCACAGTTGTGTGAAACACACAGGGTGGGGGTCGTACATTTCCGCTGTGGAGTGGGGTCGTGAGTGGCTTTGAAAACTCTGCGCTGGGAAAATTTTTTTCTAGTTGTTGACTTTTCGCGTGATTTGCGTGATTCCTGTTTCATGTGTACTACATACTCCGCCCCCCGCTCGGAAATCTAAGAACTTTGCCCGTTTCACATTAGCTATATGACCTCCGCGCTCGACGGAAAATTGAAAAACTGGAGAATGAGGGGAATTGGTAGGTAGGTGTTGGGGAAGGAAGGAGATTCTACCGAGACCCTCCTTTGGCCTTGGAATGAGGGAGGGGGGGGTCGCAATAGACACCCTCCCTCAAAGGGGGGGGATCTACTGACACAACCATTTCACACATCATGATGCTGCACTCTGTCATGGAAAGGGGCAGGAGCGGCTGCGTACTTTGAGCGCGGGGCTAGCTGCTGGTGGGATACTGCAATCATAAGACAACCCTGATCATGTCCGTATCGAGCACGATATAGGATGGCAGTTGTGTTTAGTTGAAAGTATACCACGAGAGTTGCATACCACGCAATGCTCGAGGGGAAATGCACGGCCACGCCCTCTCCATCTCTGCGAAAAGCGGTCTACAGCGTTAATTTCGGGACAAAGCACGGGGTGCCTTGAAAACTATGGCGATGATTTCATTTTATTATAGATGCTGTGGGAAAAAAATAATGGTCTTCAAGCGTTGTTGAGCAAAATCCGATTTGGCAGAAACAATTTTCAAGCTGCAGCTCTTACCCCTCCCCCTACCGTTATCGTTGAAGCAAAAGTCCGCGTTTCTCAGCTCACGATCATTCTTCATGCTCTTGAGAAATAATCGCCGTCCAAGATATACAGAAATTCGAAGAAGTCGCCCTCTAACAGATCGCAATTTTACAAAGGTTTAGCAAAAGCCCCCAGCCGGCAAACTGCATCGTTGATGGAGAATGCCGTCTTCGCTGCACTCCAGCCCGCGTTGTCATATGCCCCTTCGTTTGGAGGGATCACTGCTGTGCCAGCTATACTGGCATAACGCCTAAATTCCCCAAAGACAATGAATACACTGATAAAAACCAACTAAAACTTTTCTTCGTGCACAGATCATGTGAAACCCCCCCCTACCCCCATGTCCACCACAAGTATGGTATTGAAGGAAGCTACAGAAAGCGAAACAGTACTGTTCTGAATCAATGGCGTTTCTATTGTATTCCATCATGACTTTTCTTTTCATCGCATTTCCCGCAACGATAATCACCGATTGAACGGCAAAGACGTACAAGTAGGCCGCATACAGTGAAGCACTGTACCATGCAAAAACAGAATTGTAATGTAGGCACAAGTTTTCTGGGGTGGGAGGGAAGGCATTCTATAGATACTGTCGACATACCGAGCAGTTTTGTGAAGTCAAAGCTACCAAACAATACATATGTGCCATCGTCGCTGATGATGCCCTTTCGAACTCAACTGTCGGGGGTGGGGCACAGAGTTGTAGTAACCCAGAGAGACCTACTCGCGGCCACTTACTGTATGTGTTTCGCCAAATAAAGGCTGCTCTCTCTCATTCACTCACTCTCTCTCTCTCTCTCTCTCTCTCTCTCTCATTCGTATCTTATACTAATAACCACTGAACCACCAAAATACTCTGTCTAGAAGGGTTAAACCACCCTAAGTCTCAAGCACTCACAAAAGTCTGGTGCACCGGTGATTCAGTGGCCACGCGGGCGGACCGGGTTGGATTCGTCCAAGTAGTCCAGTCCACAGTCTAAGACTCTCTCACTGTAACGGCTTAACAAAGAATAACGAGGGCGCTGGGCCCATTAAAATGGTACAATTTTGACGCCCCCCGACGGTTGTACCCCACCAAAGCAACCTCTTTACGCTTAGTATCGGATGCTCAGTTGTTGCTTGGAGGAGCGGCGTACATAAGGCCCAGAGCAAAACCAATACATTATTGGCGCCTGTGGGCCGGGCACTTTTGCTTCTAATGAATAAGATATTCGTGCTTTTCGGGTAAAACTGCCTCCACGGACAGTGCATTGGCCTAAAGCACCCTAAAAGAACTTCGAGCAACAGCTAAGCTAGGGTAAACGGTCCCGAAAATCCCTGATATAACCAAGCGAGGGGAAGATAAAAGCAACTAAACAAAAAGACAACATACGTGAAAACTATATAAAATAACAATACCTGATCAATTGTTGCTTTCACAGTATAGACCTTATCATTGCTTAACCGATGCCTCTTCGACCATACACATCCTTGACATTGATGAATAATGAGCTCTCGGAAAAGCTCCTACAATCACTAACATCAGAAAGTAGCCACCTTAGTGGAAACAGCGCCTCGGTCGCGCGTTCGATGCAGTTGAAAGCATGCGCATCGATCGCATCGAACGCGTTACGGAAGCGCTGCCGTCGCGAAGTCTGAACGCTGCCTAACAGTACTCCAGACTGATCAGAGCGAGATTAGGTTGAACCGGAAGACGATCGTAATTCGTTACGTCGCCGCGCGAATTCTTGATCTTCATCAATTTGTCGACTAGAGCAGCAATCTCACACGAATAAAAGCAAAGGCAAGATCACGTGATGGGCGATATCGAGTTACTCATCTTTTGGCGCCTACTTTCGAACGACTACGCAGAAAAACTCGTCGGGTAGGCGCGACGTCGCTCGCAACTCCCACCAGCGTGAGATATTACGATTGTCTTGTCACAGACCCAGATGAATCTCACATCAACACTACTAATAGTAGGCATAATCTTCTAATAAAAAATAAAATACTGAATCGTGGAAACTACCGTACCGCATCCCAGAATGTCAATTGTTCCGCGATTTGAACACAGTTTTCACTGCCAACGTCGAACATTTTGACCCTAAAGAGCTGTAAGTGATTTCTAGTACTTCCAATCTATCTATCTGTCTATCTATCTATCTGGACTATAACTGATCAGTTCTAACTGAAATCATAAGCAAACACTGAACAGCTGTGCACACAAAGCTTCAGAACACGAAAGTATTACAAGTATCAAAGGAAAACATACTTCTCTTGGGGATTCTTCGAGTATTCAGAGGCATCATATCCAAATGCATAAGCTAATTGGTCCAGAGAGGGAAGAGCAGCTGAAAATGAAATGTAAATTTCAATCGTTATGTTGAAGTAAAACTGTGTGTGAGGTCTACTGTCATGATCTCAGCAAACGACGGGGCGTGTGATGGGGGCGCGGTCTGGGAATAGTCAGGCAGCCTTCTACCAACTGTAGTAAGCTCGCAAGATAGCATCATTGGCCGCCATGGCTTCGCTCCAGGGAACATGATTGCATCATAGACGTTCATCCTGATGGGTCCCCCTTTTTATGGAAAAAACAAATTACTAGATGAACTAGTAACTAGATTGTTGTAGACGTAAGAAACCACAGCGACACACCGCCGCCTGGCAGGGTTGTCCACCCTTCTATTTCCTTCATAATTAAGTGCAGTACACAGTGTAAGGCACTAGAGCTATGAAGGAGAAATCTGTAGACTCTATAGGGATTTTGATCCTGAGGATTCTGCACGGCAGCAAACATTCGATACACCAAATTATTTCTAGCCCAGTTTTTCGAAAACAATCTTAACAACGAAAATCTACATTGACTTAAAGACACACTGTACGATTATCTCTGTGGTGTATCCCTTCCATGCTCCAGAAGACAGACATAGTCATGACCGTGGCGCACGATAGGGCGTATGGAGGGGCGTGAGTTGTAGCAAAGTCAGAACAGCCTTCGCTGCTAGTTTCTGCGGATAAAGGATGGCTTCAAGAAGGCCGGCTTGGCAGCGCTCCAATTTACGCTCCTCATAAGCTCCGCTGAATGCAGGGATCATGATCACACCAAATAATAACGCAATTCCCTGCAGAAGTGCGCGGAAACAAAGCTGGAGGGGTGCGATAGCTTTATGAGCCACTAATCCTCGCTCAGCCATTCAATACGCCACGCAACACGTCGCACGATCACTCATACGCCTAACCTTCCCGTCGACGCCCTCTCACTTTCGGTTGGGGCGTTCTCTGCGCTCGACCTTAGCAAAGTGCCAACACGTTCGCGAAACCTCGGTAGTCCAGGGCCGTGTTGGCAAAATGTGCACGACGTGTGGCGTGAGATTCGCGTACAGGATACATAAAGTATGAACAGCCATCCCGCTTCGCTGCAGCGCAAATCTGAGTGGCGAAAGTGCCAACTTTCTACATCTCTGGAGCTATCCATCTCGCACAAGGAATGGATCTGCTTCAGATTTATCGCACAGCGTGCCTTTCAAGACACTTCAGGACTGTCGGTAAACGGATCCAGGAGATGGACTTCATTGGCACGCCTTCTTTTATACCACCATTCAAGTCGGGAAGGGATGCGACGTACCCCAGTAACGTCGTTGCAGATTGATTGCACCAATGGAAAATAAGAAGTTAGAACTGAACTGAACTGATACCTACCTACCATACCGCCTTCCTCCTGAATATGCTTGAAGCGTTCTAGTAACTTTCTTGATTTGGCACGTAAATCCGATAACTTGCTTCGTTGACCAAAATCTAGCAAACTCGTGAGCATTGCGAAATCGCAATCAGGATCATAAAAATCCTCTGGATACATATCCAACCAACATATCAATATCGATCGAATAGAACTGGAACGAACACGTTGAAAATATTAGGAAAAATGAAAATTTTCAGTGAACTACTTACTTTTGAATAACAAGTGCCGATGTGCTGGAGTTCACCTCGTTGTCAAGTGATTCGTACCGCCTCAGTAATCTAAATACATTCTAATAGAAACCAAAAATATAGGGACAAATTGGGTAGAATTGAATGTTGTAAGAGAAAAAAAATCTTACCGATCGAGTACATTTGTTGGTTCGGCGAATGCACGATAGGTAGCGAAAAATACATTAAAATGTCGTGAATCCATCGTGCCATCAGCTCCAACGAGGCACTCCTGAAGGCGAAGTATATTAGAAAGGAGCGGCTACTAATTATTAAATTCTTTCTGCAAGAGTAAGAGACAACTTGGATTCCCAGAGCTCCTAGATTCGCGTGCTAGGCACCCATTTGAACATTATGTTTCATTTCCCAGCAGTTCCATCCTCGTACAGCCTGTATTTATTTGAGTTCATATCTACACCTCTAAGCCACTTATCCGCTGTAAGAAGTAGGCAAGACTGCGCAATTCATTAAAACGTGGCCGCACCAGCGCTTTTAGTTGGATACTTTCGTTTTGCTTCAAATTTATACATGCTTTTCCAGAAAAAGCATGACAGTTGTTTCAAAAAGAAATATCCCACCAGTGACGCATTCTATGCCATGCTCAAATGAAGTCCGCAGCCACGCCCTCCCCATCTCTGGTACAGGATAGCTCAACTTGTCAAATGTGAACCTGTGGAAAGCACAAGCTACGCGGCCACTCCCTCTACATCTCTGGGACACGATGTAACACCTGTACCGAGGTGAACCTCTGTTTGTTAAACAAGAACCTAGGGAAATCATTCATCAAATCAGCAAGTTTCGCGTACACAGGAACAAAACATGGATTATGTCGGCTACGATGGCCGTTGAAGGACTCCTAGTGCAAAACTTGGACCGCATTAATGGAGATGACGGCTTTTGCCTGAGCCTAAGAGGGAAGGAGCTCCAAGCCGATGAACCACTTTTCTGCGGAAGGCAATTTTTACAACGGGGGAGGAAGCTCCGAGGTGGGGCTGCCAAACGGGCAGCGACCCGCTCGACCGCGGCAGGCTCCTGCTCGCGCGGTCAGTTACCGAAGTCCACGTAAAGAATCTGGATGGGCCACATAGCCCTGCACCCTGTTGTGTGCATTTACGACCAACACAATCAATCTCACGCGCAATTTTCGGAGTACTGTATGCACTTAGATAACCAGAACTTATAATTCAATGGTGTTCAGGCCATATAATGCGGGAACTACTAGTAACAGAACATTTCTGGAGACTACGTATATTAGGTAACCAAAGTAAATGAGGCTTTTGAAGAACAAAGAAAGAAAGCGTGAAAATGAAGAAACTTTGGAAACTTACCACCAGCTTTTCTACTGTACCCGCCTTGATGACTCGCTCCTTAACGCTTTCCCATTGAAGATGATCCGATCCGGGACATGGGTATTGCAGCTGCGGACGATCCGGATCGATTGCACGATACCTCTGCAAGTTCTGCATAGGATGGCATTTCGAAATCAGTTTAAAATCTAGTAACACCAATAGTACAACGAAAAACAAACTTTCGAACACATACCGGCACGCCATCGTAGCCTGGAGGTGGCACATATCTGACCTTTTTGAGATAGACGGCATATATGGCGTCCTAAAAATATCAACAGCAATATGAAGGAGACTGCTGAGCTGTTAAACCAGTAATTCTGTCATTCGAAGCAAAGGATACAAGGCGCAGCGAGGACGGCCTAAATGCGCGTTGCGAATTGCATCACGTGCGCGACATTCGCACCAGACTCCAAATAATTCAAGGTGGCAAAGCTGCAGCAGGGCAAAGCAGCTAGTTATTGATTACTCTGCTGCATTAGCGCGATTCTGAACTATACCCTGTTCCCCAGATCTACCGAAGTCGACAAATTTGAGCCTTTTTGACGTCAAGCAGAGCATTGCTATGGACTGCTGCTAAACAAGTTCTTGCGATCACCTTTTCCAAAAATTTTGGTAAGTTCCAGAACCACAAATGGTAAGAAGTACGAAAAAAAATTGAATTACATTACTTTCTGCACTTAAAGGAGCAGGGCGTTATTGAAGCAGGAGCCACGTAGCGAACATACCACAGACCAAAAGTGCTGCACTCGCAAACATGCCCGGCCTTTTTTTCGAAGAAAAACCAAGGCATGGCCCTGTAGGCTGTCAAAAGCCCTGACAAGGATGTTCCCATGTGAATTTGCCCTCATGAGCCGCCGGCTACTTAATCAGCTCTCTCTAACCAGGTTCAGCGTAGAAAAACATCAAATCGGTCATGAAGCCGCCGACGTTTAAGGCGTGTGACTACGATGCTATCATAATCGAATCATTCGTAACAGAAATTCTGGTTCAAGTTAAATTTTCAGAAAACAATATAATCCAGTAATGACCTGGGAGTCGGGATCGGCAATAATGTAGAATAGATCAAATCAAGTTGATCCTACTAGAGCGAAAGGGGTAAGGGATATTCCTCGTCCATCGAGAGACGACCCATCGTGGGTGGCCCGGGGATTGGAAGCTAGAAACTTATGGATATGAAAGACGCAGTGTTTTGAAAAGACACTTATTGTGGCCATATATGGACAGCATGTGTCTTTTTTTCCTGCGAACTTTGAGCTGTGTTGGAGGCGATTTCCCCCAAAAAAAGTTCGCGAAAGTGGGAGTTTATGCAGGAGTGGATTCAGTGTTAAGCCGAATGTAAACAAAGAGACGGGCGTCAGACCGGATTATGGCCTTTGGACCTCGTGAAATTGGAACGGGTAACAAAAAAAAGGTAAATGAGCTAATTTAAGAGAACACGATAGAAGCCAGACAAAACAGTAACCATACGGACCCTATAGACCTACTGGACCCGGAAAATGAGCCTCTCGTGGTCTAAGACATGACATCTAGTCTCAGAAGATTTGAACCCAGCAAAGGCGACAACATCGTCACTCCATTCTTTCCGTACTAGTATTATGGAAGAAAATGTACTGCTATCAATCAAGGGTTACAAGGTTATTATCAAGTGAATATTCTCTCGCTGAGAGGGTCCAGAGCTGATTTCTTAGGGCACCTTCTGAGGAGAGGGGAGTAAGGAAGGAAGGAAGGAAGGAAGGAAAAGAGGGAAGAAGGAAAAAGAGGAGGAGCGAGGGTTCGCGGTTGACAGACATCCTTAGACGGCTTTCTACTACCAACACCATAAAGATTCTGCAATTGCAGACATAAG